TGCAGAACTGCAAAAAGAGGTATTGTACCATTCGAACAGAGCTAGCGAGTACTTATTTAGGCAGAATTTATTTACACAATCATCTATACATTTTTGACAGATCCTGCGACATTGAAGTGGCTGCTGAATTTTCACAATCCAGAAGGCCAGATAGTAAAATGGCTTCAGAGCCTTTGGGAGTATAATCTTAACAATATGTATCATCCTGGATGGAACCATAGAAATGCTGATGCATTATCCTGAAGACCATGTGTTAATGAAGAGAAAAAACGCTCTGTAAAGAGGGAGGTACGATATAGTAAAGATGACCAACCTAAATTACAAAAAGAGTCTAGTCCAAGACGAGAAACCTCCAAGTGGTGATAAAGAACGAATGTGATCCAACATTCAACTACAAAATGCTCAGACAAAAGATATAAGTTAGAAACCTATTATTCAGTGGGTCAAGAATTGTGCATGAAACTCTCATTGCAAACAGTCACTCCATGTACAAAGATGTAATAGACACAGTGGGATTCATTATGCTTACAAAAAGGTTTGTTATGTTGAAAATGTAAAAATATCAGTGGACAGAAATAACATCTTCTGTTGATATTTCCACAGTCTTTACATTCTGCAGTACTCCATAATCTCCACAATCTTTCAAACGTTGGACATTTAGGTGTTTAGAAGGCACTGGAGAGAATAAGAGAATGTTTCTACTGGATTGGGTATCAGGGATCTGTAGAGAATTGGTGTAAATCATGTGAACTATGCTGTGAGCAAAAAGGTCACAAAGTAACAGTGAGACTAAATATATCATGGTCGTGATGGACTATTTCACCAAATGCTATTCTTAAACAGGAAGCGAAAAACATTAACAAGGAAACTTGTTATTTGTTTTTCAAGATTTGGGGTGCCTATTGCACTTAATTCCGATCAGGGATGGAACGTTGCGAAAATGTGTCAGGTCTTTGGAATCGAAAAGACCAGGACAACAACCCTTCATCTATCTTCTGATGGCATGGTGGAGAGATACAATCATACAATTTTGAAACAATTACCAACATATGTGGATGAACATTAGAAAATATGAGATCAAGATCTTCTGCTGTTGCCTGTGAGTTATTGGTTAGCAGGACATGAAGCTACAGACAAAATACTATCGCCACTGATATTTGGGAAATAACTTAAAATGTCATTGGCCTTCTGTACACACACCCATAGGGCAGTTACTCCGCAGACTATACCACAGGATATGTAGAGAGAGACTAAAAAACACAAATGATATCATACATGACTTTACCTAGAAAAGACTTAAATCAGCTAGTGATAAAATGAAAAGTTACTATGATGTTAATACGTATATAAGAATGAATTCCATCAAGGTGACATAGTATGGCTGTACATTCCCCATCATAAAACAGATAAAACTCCAAAATTAAGCAGGTGCTGGGAAAGGCTATATATGGTACTGAAAAGAATCAAAGATTTGGTTTACAGGATCCATAAAGACAGGTATTTCAAGCCAAAGGTCATCCATTGTGATCGTCTTTAAACTATTGTTGATGAGAAAATAATGAACTGGATAATTTGTCAGTGGAAAGCCAACCTATAAAGAGTCCAGGGTTACTGTCAATAGCATTTTGAAAAGATTACCAAGGATAGAGCTGTCAGCGGATTCGCTTGACCACCAACATACGAAGACCTCCGCTATTGAAAGGCAGCATGTGATGATAAGAAAAAAAGAGGCCAACCCATCTATATACGATAACCCTCGGAAAAGACTTAAAGAACAGTTTAGTGTACTGTATTATTTTTGTGTTAGGTAGTGTTGTAAGCTATATTTTTAAAGTTTTAATTTAGATGTGTTTTTGACAGAGGGAACTAATCATGATGATGATGCAATATATCTAGAAGCTTCATGGAAGTTAGGGTCTCTGTAGAATCTAGAAATGTTATGCAACATGTAGTAACAAAGTTACGATATAAATAACGGAATCAGTGAAGTATTCAGTCAATCAATGAGTGAATCAGTTCAGTGCCAGTCAGTGAGTTGTTCAGTTCTACGATTCAGTTAATAAACTAAACAATGAGTTAGTTAGCGTGTTAGTTATTGATTGATTCGCGAGGAAATTTTTGCAGATAAGTGACTTACGCTTTATTTGTAAATTGGACGTACCATTAGTCTCGGAATTTCTGTTCAGACGTTGTCTGTGAAGTCAGGCCTACAAAAAAATCTGCCCAATGATAGAGCACGTTACACAATAACAGAATACAAAAAGACAACAAAAACAAGGAAATAGGCCGCCAATGGTAATTAGTAATTTGTCACTTAAACCACTATTACCAACAGCATCATTTATTTTTCAAAATACATACCCGGCATCATTTATTATAATTTTATCTTTAATAGCAACTAAATGAAACGCTAGACTTAAATTTTATCGATAAATTAAGTGATCTAAGGTCAATTATGATATTTTACAATAAAATAAATCAAACTTATTTCTTTCTTTATTTTATAGATAGACACAAGGCTATTTATTTATGTGTTTATTGTTAAGCGCAAAGCTACACTACGAGTATTGAAATCCGATTTTTTAGCGTTATAAGTCATCAAACTTATGGCTGAGCCATGGGGGGGGGGCAAGTTAATATATAGTTTGTTTCGATGTTTTGCATATGAGATATTTGAAATTTATGAATTTTACAGTTTTGCAATTGAAACAAGCATTGATGGTTCGAGTTTGAGCATCCATAGCATTTACATATTTCGTAACTGAATGTTTTGATATAAAGTGCAATAGGTTTGTTTTTCATGTAAATATTATTAAATGATTTGTATGCTCCTTTAAAAGTTAGAGATAGAGAGAGAAAAAAAAAGAGTCAAAGAAACGCAATACGACACAGCTCTTGAACTGAACATTCTGGATAATGAAAAAGCGACACAATCATGCATAATGCATTTCGATGTTTCATTTGTGAACATTAAACTGGTTATATACGTATGATAATAATTTTGGAAAGTCGATCGCAAGGATGGGAAACTGCAGTTCTAAATACACTGTATTAAGTATGGAACCGTAGGTGATACAGTTTAGTAATACACCATTTTAAACATGGGAATTGGCGCTATGATTTATTAATACATCATGCTAAGCATGGGACCAATGGCGCTAAAGTTAAATATTACATCATTTTTTGCGTGGGACCAGTGGCAACAATTTAGTACTATATCATGCTCCACATGGGACGGTTGGCGTTACATTTTTAGCAACACCTCACGTATGCAATTATCGACGCTAGAGTTTAGAAATAATTATGTTAAGTATGAAAAGCCGTGATCTCTTAAAGGTTTTGAAACAATATTAATTTATCACAAGATATCTCTAAAATTTTTTAGAAAATCGTGACGTATTTTAGCAGTCTTTTTCTCTAACTACGTCTTTTACATACGTTTTTATCTAAACTTTTAAAAACAAAATTAATGTTAACACGACAATGTATAAGGAATTATAATGAGGATTTCGTAGTATTTCATTCTAGGAAGAACATATAGAAGGAAAAATTAAAATAACATTTATATTGAAGTAATATTATAAATATACATATAAGCTTTTAGGAAAGACAATTTTATTCAGTACATAGCGTCGTAAAATGTTTGCTACTAATATTTCAAAAAATGTATAAATAACATGCAATGAAATATTTCTTCTAGCATTTCGAAACTCGATAGCCCCTAAAATATCGAATTTTTAGCTCATCAACTTTTAAAATCATCATACTTGAACTGTACGTGTTCTTATAAACATTCTTTGTCGCTCGATATTGTAGGATTTTCCATTTTCTTGGTGTAAACATTTTAACGCAATAACCACTGTTTCCTTTTGTAACTATTTTTGAAGTATATTTACGTTATTTTATGTCAGAGTATTCTAATTAGGACAAATACATCAACGTTGTAAGTACTTTGAAAATAATTTAATTATAATGGTTCTTTTTGCCATATTTGTGAAGATAGAAGTCAAACAACAATTGCCTCATCATTATCTTCGTGGTGGATAAGAGAAAAATTTGTCAATACTCAAAGTTACCGTTGCAAAAGAGTTCTGGTAGTAAGTAAATGTGAATGTCTCTCTATATTTAATCAACTGTTAGAAAAAAATTGGATGAATTTCCTATGAACATAAAATGATATTCACATTTATAAAAGAAAATGCATAAATTATTTCAAACTTCAGACATAACGATTGGAATATATTAATGGCGTAAACGAAGCCAAAGAGCTACTTCCAAAAAGACAAACGTTTCATGCGTAACTTACTGGCACCTTGTCTATTTATATAGTGTTTGCTTATTTATTTTATCTATCTAGTCATCTGTCTGTCATAAAAAAGTAGTCATTACATGACAACTTAGTTTGATTTATTAGATTATGTTCTTAGTCAGTAAAATGATATTTTTTCGACAGTATGCACTTTGAATCGATTCCAAACTGGTAGGATTTATTTTTACAAACGATTTTAAAAACAGAAGAAAAACGAGAAACGGAATGTTTCTTTAATATAAAAAAGACTCTCATACAGCTGTAAATAGTTACGAAATCAGCTTCTTTCATTGAACTTCTATGTCTTCAAAACCTTAATCTTTGACTTCATCGCCAGAAAATATGTACTTCAAAATAAGGAAAACATAAAAATATATGTATTTTTGGCATTACAGTTACTGCATCGTCCCACTACATCATGAAACATAAAATCCTTTATAGTTTCATTAATAATGCAACACAATAGAAATATATTGAAATGTAACTTCTCTTTCATTATAGATAAGAGAAAAACGTGATATCTCGGTTAAATAAGCCAACATTTCTTTTTTAACACAGCGACAGAATCCTATAACTTGTCCGCAGAGTCGAATCTTGCAACGTACATAAAGCGTGTGTTTGACGTCAATGTGACGTCAATATACAGTCCCAAGGAAGCTATATGGTCCGCTGTGCCAGAATAACTCATTCATTGATCTATTTTACGCCTATCTGTTAGTTGGTTTAGAAAGCTGGTTCTCAAATACTGCTTAAGAAGTTAGAGTGAAATTACCATTATGCATTTACAGGTAACGTTATACTTTTATTTAATTATTTACATTGACTCAACAAATGCAAAATTACAAACCGCATAGGTACAACATTTTTGTACGATAAATTTGTAATTAAGCTGGTAACTTATGATGTGTGTGCATAGTTATATTAAATCATTAAATTAGACGTACAAATTATTATATACTTTAATTAATTTTAGAATTTTTCCACGGATGCTGATAAGACTTTTAAAGATTTCTTTAAGTTGTGTTTTTATAGTTTTATGTATATATATATTTTCACTTAAAATATTTTTCAATGTTTATAAAATTGCAATTATCAGTTCGTTTCTAAGACTCAACTAAAAACTGGAAAAAAATAGTGATAGGTGTGGGAAATAAATCACCAGGTGGAATCTATATTAGACTGTGATAAATGAACTTGCTAATTTTTACATGGTTACTTTAACGAAACGCTAGTGATTATAACGTTGGTGTTTTTCTGTCTGTAGTTTTGTTGTCAAGTGAAAGAAGTTTGTTTTAACATGCCCCCTAGTGGCACAGCGGTATGTCTGCGCACTTACAACGCTAGAATCCGGGTTTCGATACCCGTGGTGGGCAGAGCACAGATAGCCCATTGAGTAGCTTTGTGCTTAATTACAAATAAACAAATAAATCGTTTTAACAACAACTTTTTCTGTTTTTTACTTTCATTGCTAACTAATTATACTCACATTGGTTAACACTATTATACCAGAACTTAAATTTTTGCTTGTATGACATTCTACTTAAAGATGAATGAATTTCATATTTCTGTTCCCTTAAAATTCATCTATCAGATTCTTTATGTATGTGTTTTCGGGAAATACCAGTTTGTAAGTAAGGCTGAGGTAATATACTCATTCTGGAAAGCATGGATTTATCTTATTTTAAAGATGACCTTAAATTTACTTAAAAAAGAAACAAGTGGAGGTAGGAAGAAAATACATATCTACTTTTAGTTGGTGAAAAATTAATACTCCAAGTCCAACTTGAAGCGACAGAGATCGTATGCACTGGTTTTCAGCAAACACTAAAGTTAACTTTTGCATTGTTAACAAAAACAAAACACTCTGATAACACGTGATACTTGACTGAGGTTTACATATCTGATTTCTTACACGTAGGAGACTGTTAAGCAAGGCCTAAATCTAGAAACAAAACATTAGAACTTTTCAGTGACGTAAACGTTTAACTTTATGACGCCAACATTATCTTTTTTTTTTTTTTTGAACATAGATTAACCATTTTGCAGTTATGTGTTTTATTTTAGTAAACTTATCTTAATCCTACTAAATTACTTTAGAAGCAAAATAAGCCTAATGTAACATGTGCCTTTGATTTATTCATTCGGTTCCAAATATAGAATAGCGGTCTTCGAATATAGCGAATTTTTATTCATTAAAACTAATTACCCTTCCCAAGCTCTATTCCATAGTTAATCTTAACTAATCTATCATAGCTTAATTAAATTTTATCCAAAAATATTTGCGGTATCATGAATGATAATAAATATTCACACCATCGTTGTTAATGCCATATAATATTAGAAGTATTTTTAATATAAGTCACTAAACTATCACTCCTCTAATGCCTTCAAAAGTAAAACATTGGAATGTACTGATACTAAATGAAACACATAATGAAGTCTGTATTGAGTTTAGATGAATATTTTACAGATAAACAGAAATACTTTTGAATAAAGGTCCTATATTTTTTCATCGTGTTACGTATATGCATACATAGAGAATACATATCTCAAAAGAACATTTTATTTTGGAAAATACAATCTTTATCGTTGCTAATCTCAAATCTTTTTTACCATCAAAAATACTTTAGTAAAAAAATCTCTAAGAAAAAAAAACAGCTTTTCAAATCTGGAATTATATACGATAATGTTATTCAGTACAGAACACTTTAAAGGTAACTGGTACAAAGTTGATTATGGAAATGAATTTCTTGTAAATGAAGTAAAACAGCAGAAGAATTAAGAGCACAGATTGAAGAATATACGTGATCTGTAAGAAGCAGGCTTACGGCGATGTCATTTAGCACACCTGACATTATTTATTAGCTCTCAACATAGAAGTCTACTTCGTCACGCTGACAACAAATATAGCACTGATTGGCTTATCAGGGTAGTATATAGAGAGTCTACTGCACTCAGAATAAGGCAGGTGGGCACAAAAGTCGGCACATTAGTCATATAAACAGATGCTTTTAGATTAGAGTAAAGGATGACGTCTGCATGACGTTTTTGCGAGAATTTGTGGTTGATCAAATAACTGAAAGCAGGATGTCAACACGAATACGCCCGTGATTGTTCATTTTGCGAGACAAATATAGCATATGGACAAAAATGACACCGATTTTCTAAAGAACTATTGTTTGTTTTCTGTTAAAACGAGAAACTAAACAAGCATTCTGTTCTTATGCACTAGAGAAAATATATGAGCGTCATGACATTGTGGACAATATACTTTAAGAGGGAGCAAAATATATTTCGTCTGGTATGTTTAGAAATCTGCAATGGCGAGTATTTTGTTTGCTTATTATTAATTAAACAATGGGTTATTTGTGATGTGGCCCCCACGGGTATATGGGAAACCGATGTTTAGCGTCACAAGTCTGGAGACTTGCTGCTGAACCACTGGAGGTGGGGGGTAGTGTACAAGTAAAAGAAATGATAATGAATGAAATAATGTTATTATTTTTTCTGTGGTTTCCGACGCATGTATTATGTTACTAGAATGCTCGATAACTTATTAACCATAGTATTTTAAATTATTGTTTTGTTTGTTTTGAATTTCGCCCAAAGCTACACGAGGGCTATCTGCGCTAGCCGTCCCTAATTTAGCAGTGTAAGATTAGAGGGAAGGCAGCTAGTCATCACCACCCACCGCCAACTCTTGGGCTACTCTTTGACCGTCACATTATAACGCCCCCACGTCTGAAAGGGCGAGCATGTTTGGTGTGACAGGGACTCGAACCCACGACCTTCCGATTGCGAGTCGAGCGCCCTAACCACCTGGCCATGCCGGGCCCATTTTAAATTAATGATCTGCATTAAAGGAAAATGAAATTCTATGATAATGGACTAAAAAATATTATTTCAGCAAGAAGGCATCCTGGCGAAAACATATCTCACAAACATAAAAGTCCCTCCGGTGGGACAGTGGTAAGTTTTCGGATTTACAATACTAAAATCAGGGATTCGATTCCTCTCGCTAGACACAGCAGATAGCTCGATATGGCTTTGCTATACGAAAACACACACACACACAAACATAAGAAAGACATTCAATTTGAAAAATATATTTTTTATAATATATTACACCTTCTTGAGTTTTTATTTTATTTTACAAAATTTATACAACTTGTAGGAGAACATATACTTACAAATAAAAACGCAGTACAGACAACCTACATTTTGAAGAAAATTTTTTTCTTTCACATATTTTATAATGGTAAAAAGGTATTACACCTGCAGTGACTAATGCTGTTATTTCAAATAAACCTAATATGTTCAAAAGGTCATTGAATGTGAAAACCGTTCTTTAATAGGAAGAATGTATTTTCCGTTTAAATGACATAATTATTACATTTGTGCATTACCTTCCAGAATCCCGATTGTTCACAAGAGGACACATCACGTTTAGAAAATATGGATCATCAGAAACTGTCAAATGGAGCTTCGACGAGACATTGGCAATATCCAGTCTCTTGTGAAGATAAAACCACCATAAATTTTGCAGAACAGTTTGAATATTTTTGCAGCAACATTGCAGACAATGCCTCATCTTGTATCAGCTCGAAGATGATCTTATCTCCTGATCTTCCATACGTTATCAAGGGAACGTCTTGCATTTCTTCTTTTGACAACAATCAGGAGTCGACATCTATGGATACAGGCGAAAGTCAGCAAGAATCGGAACAGACAAGGTTATTCATGCAGGAAGGAAGCATGTCATCGTCGTTAGAGCGTGAAGCAAAGAATAATGTATCTCAAAATATACAATGCTTCAACTCTGAAGAATGGCAACATGGTCTGACACAAGAAATTGACCGACTTCGACTTGATGTAGTTAAACCAGACATTATTGTTTGGGAAGAGAGTCAGGATACTAACTTGGAGAGAAATGCCAACTCTTGGTATGCCAAAGAAGAGGGGCATTTTGATATACACGTACCTCAGATGAATTACAAAATCACCCAAGATCCTTGTCTCTCTGTACCAAACATAAGTATTACAGACGAAAAACGAAGACCTCCATTGCCAGACCTTGGAGAAAATTCAAGAGGAGCGTTCTCCGCATAAAAGTGTTGTCTTAAACTTAATAATCCTAAGGCAAAACAATCTATCTAAATGTTTGGATGATTATATGTACAGAAACATTTATTTAAATCAATCTCTTAGAGTAAAAAAATATTGTAAATACAACATTCATTTGAAGAGTATTAATACCTCCCGAAAGTATAAATCTTAGATGTAAATACATGATGTGATTTTTTTAATGTAACTTCAAAAATAGAAAATATTTGTATGTTTAAACGTTATTTCCATTTTCTCTACTTCGTGTACTTAACATAATAGTTATTGGAAGTAAACTTTTGTGCATGTTAAATAAATTACAAGTAAAAGCACTATTACATAAACTCAACGAAAAAATAAACTCGAATGTTGAATTCCATTATTATTTTTTGCAGTAAATTTCTTGATAATAAAGCATGTAATTCTTTAAATATATATATATATATATTTGCCATTATTATTCCTTGAAATATGCTCATTATTGCAACACATTATTTTAATAACATTTTATGGAGAATAATTAATAAGATTGTAGTTTTAGTTTATTTCTTTATATTAGAGTATTTCATATAAAATAAAAACGCAATCTACTCTTTTGTAACTTTTGTACAAATATATACTTTACTTAAATTTCACTTAAATATTAAAAAATGACACCAACACTAATTTATCCAGCTGATAAATAGCAAAAGTATTTTATATGTTCTCATTCAACTACTGGCACATTTTGAACAGTTTCTGTTTGATAATTATGTATTTGATTACATTATTCTGTGTTGAATTTTTGTAAAGGAGTCTTGGAATAAATTTGGATAGGAAAGGTTTGAACATTTCAAATAAAGTGCAAGTTCGTGCAAAAATTATGAAGTTTTGAGTTAAACCTTAAACCAATTTACAAAAATGATTGGACGTTCTTCGGTACATAGATAAACTATAAGATTTTTACATATCCACAAGTTCTGCGTGTACCCAAAGGGCGATGTAGAGGGCTCTGGGGGGGGGGGGGGTCAGGAACACTTTTTTTCAGAACCAAAACAAGATGGACAAGTACAGAGACTTTGTTACTCAGCTTGTGAGGTTGTAAAACAATCAATAATTATTCTATACTATTAGTTGAAACTATAACTATTCTATACTATTAGTTGAAACTATAACTATTCTATACTATTAGTTGAAACTATAACTATTCTATACTATTAGTTGAAACTATAACTATTCTATACTGTTAGTTAAAGCTATAACTATTCTATACTATTAGTTAAAACTATAACTATTCTATACTATTAGTTAAAATTAGAGCAGTATTTGCCGTTTTCTAAGTACAAAGCTACACAATGGGTGATCTGCACTCTGTCCACTGCGAAAAATCAAACTTCGGACTCCGACGTTGTAAGTCTGTATAATTATCGCTGTTCCACCGGGAGGCAAATTGGAACCGTGTATCTCCTACTATTAATATTACTATTTGTTTTTAACAATAATGATATACTTAAGATATTTTTAACAGGGGATCACGTGTACCATTAGAACTGCAGTATCATTGATAATAATTATTATCTCAGCATCCTAATTCCTGAGTATCTTCGAATACGAAATATGTCCTAGTGAGTCTGTGTTCATTGTGCAATTTAAGTCACAGGAATCATATTACTTACTGACGCATAGCACGCCCATATTATTATGCCTGCACATGACAGGCAATATTATGCTAGCATAAGTGGGTAATTCTGATTGTCATGTTAAATCTAGAAAGAGAACAATTACTTGAAAGATGGTAGATTTCGTTTGGTTTGAATTTAGCACAAACCTACACGAGGGCTATCTGCGCTAGCGGTCCATAATTTACCAGTGAAAGACTAGAGGGAAGTCAGCACTACCCACAGCCAACTCTTAGGCTATTCACATATAACATCCCCGTGGATGAAAGGGCGATATTGTTTGGTGGGAGATGGATTCGAACCCACGACCATCAGATTACGAGTCGAGCACCAGAACTACCTGGCTATGCCGGACCAAGATGGTGGAACTGAATCTTTGCATGTTGAAGAACATCACTTTCATTAATGACTCGCTCGCCATACGGTCCATCCTCAGACAGATTTTCTTGTGTTCATGGTACCGCCTGTTTCAGCTGGTATATACCCAGTGTCAACGAGCCTAGACATTTTTCACACAACTATGAAAAGTCGAAAGTCGTCTTTCCTGCTTTAAGCTTTATCTATGTCGATCTCTTTCACGCTAAACCTTCGTACTCTACAGTTTCTTGAGGTGTGTTGAGATGGTTGACCATCTGGAACATGCGTTGTGCAATACACGAATTAGCTTTTGTGTTTTCTATGAGAACAGTTGCAAATATCACTGACAATCCAGACACCGTGTCTAGTAGCTTCTGTTGTTCTATATGACCGTTTATTACTTTTACTACCCAACACACTTTTATGACAATATCTGAAAGATGGAATTCTTCTGTAGGATGCTTATTACACTTGTTTTGCAGAAAAAAAATGGCACCTAAATTTTCACAGCCAATTCTTAAATGAGTCTTAGTGCATCTCTAAATTCTGTATCCACAAAACAGCCACGAAATGTGTTTGTATACCGGTGTGAATGTTTACAACATAATTTTAATATATGTGGGAAGTAACTGCTACATCATTATTTTGTCCATTAGCAAGATACTTAGTACTTTTCTATATATACACACACATTACATCTAACACTAGGATTGCAACGTTTTTGTTCTGTTTTTCTAAAAGGTCTAATCCAAGAGGACGATTAGATATTAATTCTTAGCGGTTGATATGATAAAATCTAGCATTGAGAAAAAAAAGTCGATTATCAAAGGAGAACAAGTCTAGTGTATTGTTTTTGTTACAACAAAAATATTGTCCAAACCAAAAAATGTATACAGAATTCTGTTGGATGACATAGTATAATTTCGTACAGATCTTATATGTGTATCCATCAGAAATGGAATCCTAGAAGGCAGATCATCAAATCCAGTCTGATAAACTATCCACCATGAATTAGCTTGTCAAGCTTACAAAAGTATATTTCACCTAATATTTTTGCTGATGCATGTGTGTTATTCAAACGACCCACCATATCAGTCCTATTACATCTTGTATGATCTTCCATCTTTACACCTATCAAGTTGGGTATAAGCTGCTGTCTGTCCAGGTAACTTTTGCAGCACCGAGCTCTAGCAGGTTTGACAATACCATGCGAAACACATAGTTGGTTCTTGCTACAAGTGGTAAAACAGTCAGCTGAGTCAGAAATCTTAAGAAGTAGCGCAACTTGGATTATTTCTTCACTGTTAATGTAACTTATATTACTTTTTCACTGTTAGTGTAACTTGGATTACTTCTATCAGTTTCCCGGTTATGTGGAAAGCGGTTCGAATAGTCGTACTGTTGATAAAAAAGACATCATCTTCGACAGAAGGTTTCTTCTCGATATGAAGGTATCTTCTTAGTTCACCATTTCATGGTTCTGATATACCCCTTCTCCCTTTAGGTCCGAACTTCTCGTTGTATACAAGACACAATTGTATTCTCTGAACATGGTTGGATGGAATCCCACTAACATTGTGATTTTTATAAGCCATTTTGCAAGCAGCAGGATAAAAACATTATTGGTCTCTTAATTACAAAAGTGTTCAGTTTCATTAAATAACTTAACTTTTAGCTTGCAACTATCTGTCCGAGCGTTCGTCTGTCTCCCGTTTAGGGCAGCCGTTTCCAGCGCTGCGCTTGAAAATTTGCGCGCGCAGACAAAGCTGAACATTCATTTTTAAAATGACGGGAGAACAGGCATGAATAATGGTGATGCCAAATTGTATTTCGCAAGCAGGATATTCTATACTAAACTGTTAGGAATTAATCACACTATCATTCACATTTAAAAATGTGAAGTAACTTAAAAAATAAAAAATGTAGATTTACCGCATGTTATTGTCAAGTGGTTCTTAGCATGACTGAAATGCTTAGCAATTACTTTTCGCGGTGAGCGATATAAGTACCTCAGAGCTTTGGCTCGGAGTGAAACCAAGAATACAACATAAATTAACCTTTTTTATAGTCCACGAAGTAATTTAAATTGATAATTTAACTTAAAATTTTCCCGTCACTGGGGACGGGTACTTTTGCTTGTTAACCATGTGATTAACTTTTTATAGGAAGTTGTGATTTTACTGGCTAATACGTAGGATGTACAAAGAATTCGTGTAGACTTGTTTAGTGGTTACCTCTTAAACGCTGTACATTTGCATAAAAATGATGAAACGTTTAAACACCTCGAAATACAAAAAGATTGATTGATCTTCATGCATTCGAATAAACAACTTTTTACGGTAAAAAAGCCAGCTCCATCTATTAACAATATTATATTTTAATATTTATCATATAACAATGTCCCCCATGGGATTAGTGGCGAATTTGAGGGGGCAACTACCCCCAGCAGCTACATTCGCTGATCTGACATGGGTCTGGCGCCCCCCTTTCTATGGGTGATGCGACCCTTTTCAAGGGTCATACTGCTTATGCACTCTATTTTCTTATGAAAAAAAAAGGTTTATTATTTTTTATCGAAAGGCAGCATACAGGTTTCAATAACTTGAGTTGCGTTTATACTGGTTTTTTACGGCAAAATATCGGATAGCCAGGCAACCTAGCAATCCATATCGAATGAATTACACAAGCGATATCATATTAGCCTGTAAAAGAGAGTATTCGTGTCGCCAATATTTATGTGCAGTTATTGAGAGGTTTTGAACCGCAACCTCCGGATGATATTGTATGGTACAAACGACGGAGCGGTCATTATAAAATAGGAAGATTAGGAACCGGAAAATGTCGAGCAGACAAGCACGCAGGGTCCAAGATGAGTAAGAAGATCTACAGTCGAATTTTTCATGTAAGTAGATTAGTAAGTTTACACAAGGAATAAACCGATTAATCCGCTCTACTGCTGAACGATACCACGATAGGTTTCGGGGCTAATATGCGATTTATATGCTTTCGTACACAGTGACAATGGCACCCCCAATACAAACTGCCTGCCTCCTTCAGATGTGTTCTAGATCCGCTATTGAGTGGGACAGTGGTAACTTTACAGACTTAGAACACTAAAAGACGGGTTGGATTTTCCGCAGAGGACACAGCATATAGCTCACTGTGGCTTTGATCAAAATATAAAAAAAATATAACAATAAACAAAATACTCAAGACTGAAACTAGTTCAACTTTGAAACTGAATACACGCAAATAGAAAAATCACCTTAAATATAGCAAAAGTTGTGATGCACAGAACTCGAACAACATCTAAACAGTAAGGAATGTGGCAACAGACGACTTTTACATATGTACCTAATAGTATTTC